CCTGGTGTTGTCATTATGCGGATCTTGATCTTGTTTAGTCAGCCACGTTGTTGAGATTTCATAGATACGGTTTCCCTGTCGTGTTTAGAAGAGATCTTGCAGCAGGCATTCTGGTCCTCTGGCTCTTACAATCTTTCTGCTCCTCCTCCACAATTTTCCCGAGCCTTAGGTTCAGGGGTTATATTGTAGTTGTACCAGCTGGGGTCGGGCACCCTGCAGTCACTTACTCCTTGCATTTTGACTAGTCGTGAATCTCTGTAGGAGCTTCTTTGACGAGAGCTACACTTACCTATGGGTATAAGGATACGTATTTAGAATACAGTTAGAAATTATGTTGGTTTAAGAAACGGTCCTAGCAGGTTCCCCTCGGGGGTTCATGATCTCCCCAGCCATGGGTAGTTGGCTAGGTTTACAGTCCCAGGTATGAATTTCTCCCCTGTGCTGGTTTGAAAGAAAATGGCCCCCATGGGGAGTGGCACTGTTAGGAGGCGTGGTTTTGTTCAGAGTAGGTGTGGCCTTGTTGGAGGAAGTGTGTCACCATGGGGGTGGGCGTTGAGGTCAAGAGACACTCGGGGTGACACACAGTTGTTTCTGCCATCCACAGAGCCAGACGTAGAACTCTCAGCTCCTTCTCCAGCACCATGTCTGCCTGCGTGCTGCCATTGCTACCTGCTATGATGATAATGGACTAGACCTCCAAACTATAAGCCATCCCAGTGAAATGTTTTCCTTTAGAAGAATTGCTGTGGTCATGGTGTCTCTTCACAGCAATAGAATCCCTAGCTAAGAAGGCCATAAGTCTAATAAGACTTGGTTATCCCCAAAGATAAAAGCGCCTTTTTTTTGAACCATTAGGGTTATCTTGCTGGGCTGTTCATTGTTTTGGTTCATAGGCTCTACATGTGGGTAGGATTACTGATTTTTCTTCCTCTGATGTTTGAATTGTATCTTCTGATACTACGAAATATGATACAGTTTCTTTATGCATTCATCATTTGACCTGCAAGTGGGCTGCTTTTATATCTTGACTGTTGTAAAGAGTGGCATAATAAGCATGAGTATGCAGGTATCTCTGTTGTATAATGACTTTGATTCCTTTGGAGGGTATATACCCAAGAATGGTGTGGTTGGGTCATATGGTAGTTCTGTTCCTTACCTTTTTAAGGAATCTTCATACTGATCTCTATAGTGGCTGAACTAATTTATATTTTCAACACTTTTTTCTTCAAATATTAATTAACATTTATTGTTTTTGTTTTCCTGGTGATGGCTCTGCTGACTGTGGTAAGAGAATTTCAGCATAGTTTTGATTTGTTTTTGCCCAGTGGCTAAAGATATTGAGGGCTGTTTTCATGTATTTATTGGTCATCTGTACTTCTTCTGTGAAGTGTCTGTTCAGATCATTCACCCAATTATTAATTAGATTATTTGGCTTTGTTTTTTTTTTTTCTTGCTATTTTTTGAGTTCTTTATATATTCTGGATGCTAGTCCTCTGTCAGGTAGATGCTGACTAAACTTTTTTTCCCATTCTGTAGGCTGTCCATTCATTCTGCCAATCATTTTCTTTGCTGTGGAAAAAAAAAAAAAAAGCTTTTGAATTTTTGCAGTTCCTTTTACTGTTCTTGCTTTTCTTTCTTGAGCTATGTGAGTTCTCTTAGACAATCATCCATGCCAACGTCTCAGTGTGTGTCTCCTGGTTTTTGTAGTTTGAAATTTTCTGGCCTTTCATGAACACTTTAATCCATTTTGAATTGGTTTTTATGCAGGGTGAGATAGGGATCTAGTCTCTTGCCCACCAGTGTTTGTTGGTGGGCTGTCTTTTCGCCACCTTATGTTTTTGGCATCTTGATTGACAACTGGCTGAAGATGGGTGGGTTTATTTCTATGTCCTCTATTCCATTGGCCTGTGTGTTTACTTTTATGCCTCCACTAGGTTGATTTTGTTTTAAACTACGACTCTGTAGGATATTTTGAAATCACCTTTGTAATATCTTCAATATTTCTCACTTTGTTTAGGACTGTTCTGGATGCTTCCAAAGGCCCCAGGTCTGACCACCATAGTTGGATTAAATTTCCACCATGAGGATAAACTTTCAACATATGAATGCTTGGGGGACACACGTTAAAAAATATCCAAATCATAGCCCCCTCGTCTCCTATTTGGTAGCCTCCAAAGAACCTGAACATTGTAAGTCATTCTCTGAGGCGACAGTGAATCTACGTTAAGATGAAAACGGAACCAAGTTAGGGCAGATGCTGGGGGCCTGTGCTCCAAGATTGCCTCCATCTCTGGGTGCAGCCTCATGAGAGGGACGTTGGTGGTGGGAACCTCAGGGTAGGCGGAAGGGAAGATGGCAGATGCACAGGTATTCCAGAAGACCCAGCCCTCAATATTGCCTTTGCAATCACATTCCCGACCTTTGACTCTGTCTGTGCAGAGACATGTGGCACAGTAGAGCGTCAGGATGGCAAAAGGTGACAACCAACCACCATCCCTCTTTCCTGCCCCCTCTACCTGGACTGCTTGTAGTTACCTTAGTACGGCATCTCAGGCACCCACTTCTGCCAGCAGGTCCCAGCTGCCCTGTAGGGACATGCCAGAGCACACTGCATTACCAGGCAGTCAGGGACTGTGGAAGAAGGGGACTCTTGGCCTCACTTTGTTGCCTTTCTTTTGTGAGATCACAGGCCAGTATGCCTATGCCAATTCTAAAGGGCATGAGCAACCCCGCACAGAAACACTGCTCAGGACATCCGTTCCTACTTGCTCTCTAGCTCTTGGCCCAGCAGCTTAGGAAGAGCAAGGCCAGGTAAGCAGTCTGTTCCCACAGTGTCCTGGTTCTGGCTCTTCTGTGAGCAGGCTGGAGGGCTGAAGAAGGTCCTCTGTCCAAGCCAGCTTGCACCATCTATAAAATAACCCGATTCCAGGGATTGGTGATTCATTGATGGGTTCGCTGATTGTTGTTACGTGTTTGCTCCGGAAGAGCAAACCTTTAACAAAGGCTGTATTTGTTTTAAAAAATCTTTCTGTGCAGGAAATGGGGACGCTTTAATTTCCTTATTTTGTGTCACCGGCCATTTAATATGCATCTTAAGCGCCTCTGGGTATGACGTGATTTGTCGTGAAATGTAAACTCCTGAGGGCACAGATGTCTGCTTCATTTACTTTTTAGAACACCCAGGAAAGGGCCATGAACAAGTAGCTTCCTCATCTGTCTACATGCTACTATTGTGGAATGGAATATAAACCACATTCCCTACTCATAAGAAGGACTGTGCTGCTGTAAGATCAGAAATCTAAGACCGTTTCACTGAACACCATTGAATGTCCTTCTATGCAGTACACATAGATAACTTTTTATTTTAATTTTAAAATAATAACACTAGATGAGTTTTTAAAAACAAAAATCAGGCCCATGTTAAAAAATAAATAAAATCCCAGAGAGCATGCAGAAAAAAGCAAAAGTCGTCTTTAATTCCCCGTGTATGAAGCCAGTCATTTCCAGTATCTCTGTATTTTACCTGTGTGATTCATTTAAAGATTACTAGTTAAAGGATCTTTAAGACTTTCAAATTTTCTTTCCATCTGTCAGTAGGTGATGCCATGTTGTTTCCAAGTCAGAATTATTGTCTTGCTGTTTTTCAACGTTGTAAGTGTAAAGAAAGGACTTGCCAGAAGTTGCTAGCAGCTTACTGTCTCCAAAGAGAGCCATTGTTACCACGAAGGAAACTTTGATCCATCTTGTCCCAGTACGCATGTTCTCTGAGAACCAGGTGAACCACCTCTGACTCTCTCCTCAGGATTATGTCACCCACCAAGGCAACTTTCTGTTTCATTCAGTGATGTCAAGAAACAAAACATCACCCTTAAAGTGAATCAGTTTTGGAAAATAGAAACTGCTTTATATTCCCTGGCTTTGATGTGCTTAGCCATTCCTGTAAGAATCTGCCTCTCTCTTGCTTTGATTGACAAGACCCTCCCTATATATTGGAGTAATCAGGTAGCCCGATAGCAGAAGGATAGCAGACACTTCCCCAGAGCAAACTTTGCCCACTCGTTGCAACTTTTGAAGGAAGAGTTGACCCCAGCAAGCTCAGGTAAGTACCTCTCCATCTCTTCCTTCCTCCTCAGGGGAAGCCCCCAGAGGACGTATGACCACAAACCAGCAAGAACCATGAAAGCAGCTTTGGAAATGTAACTGCTCCTGAGTGTTACTGACCTGGTAGCATTCCACAAATGTGACGCCCAGGTGGGTTCTATTCGGTAGGCCAGCCATGAAGGGCCCATTCTGTGCTGCTAGAGCACCAGAAAGGACCAAGAACCAGAGAGGACAGCCTCCATGGTAGACTGTGACTGGCTTTCCATCATTTGCCTTTAAACTGAGTTCCACTAGGGCCTTTGCACAGCAGAAGCATGGAACAGATATGATCTGTGATGAGCAGAATACATTTTATAAGTTACTGCCATGCCAGGCACCAGAGTTTATAATATTTTCTGTATGGTAGGTTTGGTTAGTAATAACAAGCCAGGGTATGCCATTATTAATACTTATCTACCTCCCCCATTTATTCCCCATCCGTGGCACTAAAAATACAAATGTGTGCAAAGTTTCTGACATGACACATACATACCCCAAACCTGGATAAAAAAGAAAGCATATTCATGTATTATTTTAGGCTCTCGCATTTCTTTGGGTATTGCTCTTACTTTTCATTGGGATAAATTTCTTTTACATGCAAGTCAGTTCCAGAAGTTGGAGTTCATCAAGGAAAAGCCTGAGATTGTGTTTTGAGGGTAGGATGTCTAGAAAGAGCTGCTGACTATCTACTGGAGCTAGTTAGAGAGATGCTGTTGGAGTGGACAGTCCCTTGGCTCATTTTGTTTTCCTGTAATGCTAAAAGCAAGGTCTCTCTGGGAGTGACCAACACATTGTGGACTGCACCATGGCGAGCAGATGGGTATGTTCAATTTTGTTTCCTTTCCCTCCTTGGGAATAGCATGAAGCTGGCATACCTTGTCCTTGGTGCCATGACCCTCCTTCTTCTGGGTGGCTGTGACTCTGCCCTCAGCACCTCCAGGGGGAGCCTGCACACTTTCGTGGGCTGTGCTGTGAGGGAGTTCACTTTCCTGGCCAAGAAGCCAGGCTGCAGCGGACTTCGGATCACCACTGATGCCTGCTGGGGCCGCTGCGAGACCTGGGAGGTAAGTAGTCCAACAGGCTTGGATGGCAGTGGCCTCAGGGCCAGCTTCTTGAGTTTAAGTGTTCACTGTTTCATGACTGAGGGGGAGCTGTCACGTCTGCCCTGTCCTCTGGACATAAAAAACCCGACTGCACTATTGTTGGTTCTTCCAAATGATCCGAAAACCATGACGGTGCTCCTCTCCACAGCGCTAGTGAGGTTGGTAGTGTAATTTCCACGCTTCTGCATGTTTGGGAGTCATCTCTAGGAGGTAGGTGCTACTGTTTGCCCGCTGTAAAGATCACAAGGAAGGAGTCAAAAGGGAGGCAGTGCAAAGTCGGAAATAAATTATTGGTCCAAACCTGTGACCGCATCTCCTTCCTGTATTTTCTCAGCTGTGAGGAAGTCAGGCAGTTACCCAAAAGAACCCAGAAGCTGTAGGTCTAGTCCCAGGTTCTGTCCCAGCCCTTTCCCCTCAGTTCAGTGATAGATCCATCCAGTCTATTTATACTCAGTTACGTCTGGCCCTTCACTGAAAATGGGTATACACATCTCAAAGCTGGCTGAACTGAGGAGTGTGTTTATAATGATGGGCTGCACTGACCTCTTGCTGAAATAATGACTTATCATGACCCTGGGCTTCAAGATGCCAGGGTTAGCAAAAACCAAAGCCAAAAGCTGGGCGGTGGTGGCGCACGCCTTTAATCCCAGCACTCGGGAGGCAGAGCCAGGCAGATCTCTGTGAGTTCGAGGCCAGCCTGGGCTACCAAGTGAGTTCCAGGAAAGGCGCAAAGCTACACAGAGAAACCCTGTCTCGAAAAACCAAAAAAAAAAAAATCAAAGCCAAACCAACTGCTCCCCCAGCAAACCAACCAACCAACCAAAAACCCCACCAACCCCCTTCCACCTCAAACCCCACAATCCGAAGAGAAGTCAAATTTAAAAAATAATCAGGGAACTCGGATAACTTGAATTTCAGATTTAATAACACTTTATTTATTTATTGGCATAAGTCTGGGCAGAGGGAACAGCAGATGCAAAGGTCCTCAGTTCCTGGCTGATCTGAAGGAGGATTCAGACGGCTGTGACTGGAGACTGGAGAGGGGATGGGCAAGGTCAGGACTATAGCCCACATCAACAGTAAAATAAAGGCAGAAAATGCAAGGACTTGAGAAGAATCCTAATGTCTTTGACGTTTTAAACCTGAGCGAGATGGGGAAATTTCTGGGGCTTTGAGCAGAGGTGGGCCATGGCTGACTGAACATTTTAAAAGGCTCACTCACTGTTGTAAACAGACTGTAGGGAAAAATGGTGGGAGAGGGGAGACCAGTTATTTGCTGGCTAAATATTTACTAAGTGCTTCCTGTGTTTCCTGGACTTTCGCAGGAAGCTCAGGATATGGTAGTGAGCAAACTGTCTTCCTGCTCTCAGGAGTTTATTCGTGGTGGGAGGAGTCAGAGGATAAGTAAATAACTAGTGACAGACAGCACTAGTTGTTTACTTATCCTCAGGATGCTGCATTCTAATGGGTTTCCTGTTTCCTGTTTTCTACCTGTGGGCACAGAAACCCATCCTGGAGCCTCCCTACATCGAAGCCCACCACCGAGTCTGTACCTACAACGAGACCAAGCAGGTGACTGTCAAGCTGCCTAACTGTGCTCCAGGAGTCGATCCCTTCTACACCTACCCGGTGGCTGTCCGGTGTGATTGCGGGGCTTGTTCCACGGAAACCACCGAGTGTGAGACCACCTGAAGCCGGCGTGGTCTGCAGAACGCAGCTAGTGGCCCGAGCCTCACAGATCCGCTTCCCCCAGGAATGTATCTGCTCTATCCCCTGCAGTCAAGTACGGTTGAATTTGGGCCAGCCTGGCTCAGGCTTTCCTCTGCTCAGTTAGGCACCAGGTACAGGTGCAGCACACTCACGCTAAAAATGTCAAACACTATTGACCCTTCCCCAGGATAATGTCTCCGGTTCATATGTCCCTCAATTTGATTTTATTTGCTTGACTCTGGGAACGTGATTTGTCTATTACAACCCGCCCTCAGTTTTGATTGACATTGTAGCATTTATTTAAAGGAATTGGATATCATTAAGCTCCAGAAAGCCTTTAAATCCCTACATTCTGCCATTGAACTCCAACTGGATTTATGATTAAAAGGCAAAGTATGATCAACACCAATGCACTTTCTTCCTTGCTCAAAAGGAAACCCAACTTTGAGTGTTCTCCGAGAGAATGCTCCATTTCCCTTTCAACTGAGCAGCTACCTAGATAAGAGACAAAGACAGTCCTGACTGCTACAAAAAAGGTGTTTAGATGTGGGTATTTCTCTCCCAAGCAAAAGTCCCTCCACTCCCTTAAGATCCTTATAGAAGTGTCCACTTGCCAATTAAACAAACAAACAAACAAACAAAATAAAACTCACAAAATGTAATTAGAAGCTATTTTAAAACTAGAAGTTTAGTTTTAAAAACACCAGAGACTAAATTCATGGCTTGAATGTTCTCCCACGGCCACAGGGAAGTGACCAGTCACAAATGTCCCTGCCTATTTAGTATATTTTAAACCTAAATGGCAATTTCTTAGACACAGAATCCTGAGTGTTTGTGGAGGTGAGGCTGCCATGCTGGCTCAGAGAGAGCCATGGCTGCGGTCATGGGCTCATGCTTTTTCTAAAATCTTACAGCAGCTGATTCTGCAACCTTCTTTTTAAACTCTAATTTTATGCAAATGTTTTTAGCTTTGGCATTGGAGGGGGTTGAGTTTAACTTTGTTCTTTTTTAGAATACGCCAGGAGTGTCAATACAGATGTCAACAAAGTATGCTCCCTGACACCTGAATTCACGCCAACTTTTAGAAAAGTCTTTCTAGTTTTTATTTTACTTGGTGTAACAATAAAGGCACTTGGAACTTTGAAGTTCTTTTGACTGAAGCATTCATTTGGGGTTTCATGTTTGCCAAGGGACACAGATGATTTGTGTGGTAGCCTGTGTCCCAGGGGTCCTGTATCTGCAGCCCCCATTGGGTCCAAGCTGGGATCCTCGAGTGCTCCTTGAAGGAGGAATTACTGAGTCCATGAAAATCTACAGAGCAAAGGTTGAGACTGGTGGGCAAGGCCTGGGATGCTGGGGTGACTGTCTGGAGACAAAGGACTTGAGCGAAAGCCACCCCAACCTGTAGCTGCAGATGTGTTGGTAGGAGGAGTCATCATCACACAGAAAGCCTGTTGAGCAGCTGTGGTCCCTGTGGGGGAATGGGTACCACTTATAGACAGCTCAGGGCTTCCTTCCATTCTTCCTCCTTCCATTTTTAGGAGCCTTCCTCTGGGTTTTCTGGGGCAGTCCTCTTGCTGGAGATTCAGGAAAGATGGGCACAGCCTTAGTAACAAGTCTGGCAGGAAATAAATGACATTTGACCAGAGTTAAAGAAACCAGCGTGGAGGGCCGACACACTTGTGATTTGGAGGTAGTGGGCAACCTTAGGGTGCTGTGCTGGGAAGGGATGTGATTATCAAATACCAAGGCAAACACAGGAGAGGAGCCAGTGCCTGGCAGGAGCTGTGGTCCTTAGTCGGATGCTGCAGCTGTTTGCCAAACTGAGGCATGGGAAGAGGTGGGGGATGTCCCAACCTACTCGCTTTCCATACCCTTGAATCAAATGGGAATCATACTGGAAGACAGAGACTGAGGGGGCCCATTGATGTGGTCCTCCATCAAGTCTGGTCTTCTAGGAAGCAGGTTGAAATGAATTTAAGGGTAATGGGATAGGCCACATGACTTCTGTCTTAGTTAAGGTTTTTATTGCTGTGAAGAGACACCATGACCATGGCAACTCTTATAAAGAAAACATTTAATTGTGGTGGCTGGCTTATATTTTAGAGGTTCAATCTATTGTCATCATGACAGCGGATCATGGTAGTGTGCAGGCAGATGTGGTGCTGGATACATCTTGGCTTGCAGGCAACAGGAAGTCAACTGAGACACTCAGCGGTATCCTGAGCATAGGAAACCTCAGAGCCCACTCCCACAGTGACACGCTTCCTCCAACAAGGCCGTACCCACTCCAACAAGGCCACACCTCCTAGTAATGCTGCTCCCTGTGAGCTTATGGGCATCAATTACATTCAAAATACCACAACTCTGTTTGGGGCGTTTCATCCAAAAAGTGTAGCAGGTGGTAATTGTAGTGGTTGTCAGGACAATATGTAGGCTGTAGTATCCCGATGGCTCACATTTCTCTGATGGGAACTGCTGTGGCATACATACAGGTTTGTGTCCACTAATATCGTATATATAATGTGTGAGAGATATGAAGGCAGGATAAGGGTAGTTACAAGGGCTCTGACATTAGTTGAGTATTAAGTATAATCGAAGGCCTTTGGGCATGATGTGGAAGCTGCATTTGAAGAGGCAGAGGTGAAAACCAGACCTGTGATCTAACCGAGAGAGCAGTCCAATCATTTAAAAGGCTGACTCTGCCACCATGGTTCTTCTCTTCTTCCTCCTGGTCCTGATAGGAAGGAAAGAGACACAGAGGCCTGGAATGGGAACAAGCAGGCAGATGCACTAGCTCCTCCTTGCCAGAGGAGACAGACTCCCCTAGCTGGAAAGCCACATGGAGGACCTAAGGTGGGCGTGGTTTTATTCTAACTGTCTTCTAACTAGTGTCCACGATTCCTATGGTTTAATACTCCTGCTTCTGCCTCCTAAGTACTGGAGTTTTAGGTGTGTGCCATCACACCCTTTTTTTTATGGTGCTGGATATTGAACTCAGGGCCTTGTGCCAACTAGGCAAGTACATTGTCCAATGATCTACAAGCCCAGTCCCTACAAACCGGTCTATTCCAGATGATAATTAGGGGGAATGAAGGTCTCTGTTGAAGGAGCTAGTGGATAATACAAACCAGAGGGATGGGTCGAAGGTACTTGGCAATGGGCGTGGGATGGGAAGAGACTGATGAGCATACAGCCATACGGAGGAGATTCAGGATGTATAAGCGTAAGAACGTTAGGAGTTTGTCCCAGTGTGCTGTTGGGATGGCTCCTGCCAGCTTGGGGGAAATTGGGGCTTCTATCAGTGAAGAGGAGAGACTTTAACTATGCTGGCATAGTACCAAGGAGCCAAAGACAAGCATGGGGTGGGGGTATTTCACAGGACCTGAGGACCCACCAGCTGTCTGTGTTCACCTGAGAGGTTCAGAAGACACTCTCTTTAGCCAAGAAACAAGGGCTGCCTCAGTGAAGGGCACACCTACCACAGAAAAGTTCCATCTTGACCGTCCTCTGTAGGCCAGGGGATGCGGCCATGGACCTGGGCTTCTAGGTGTCCGCAGAGCTCAAGAGGCAGGGAGGACATTACCACCGTGGCAGACAACAGAGCTATAATAGTGACCAGAGGGCCTATGACCTGCAGGGTGTGTGGTACTGCCTAACAGACAGTGGAGATGCTAGTCCATGGAATTAAAAAATTGCAATAACTATATATGATGATCAGGAAATTTACTGAGGAAGAAGAGGAAAACATCTGTCAGGATTTATTACAGTTAGAAACCTAATCTTTTTTCTCTTTTTAACTTTTCCTCTTTCCCCTCCGTCCATTGCACGGCCTTCTTTCCCATAAATATTTATTAACTCTAATTTTGTACAAAGCACTGTTTTGGAAATAAAGATGTAAATGTTGTTACCATTTATAGAACTCTCACATTTATGAATTCTCAGGTCTGTGTATACACGCCTGCACGTGCACACACACACACACACCCCTATATGCACATGGAGGTCAGAGGTCAGCCCCTGACATCATTTCTCAGGAGCTATCTACCTTGGTTTGTGAGAGGTCTCTCTCTGAACCTGCAGCTTGCTCATTAGGCTAGGCTGGCTGGCCAGTGAGATCCAGGGATTCTCTTGTCCATATCTCTTCAGGGCTGGGGTTACAAACATGTGCTACCAAGCTCAGTTTGTGCGCTGTTGTTTGTGGGTTCTGGAGGTCCAGGTCTTCATGCTGGCACGGCAAGCACCTTACTGACTGAACCATCTCCCTGGTCTTACATCTTTAGTCTGTGTCAACCACACTACTAAGTATTATTAGTATCATTTTACCATTGCTGGCTTATGGATGAGGAAGCCAAAAGCTGACATACCCAGTCACTTGCCCTGGCTAATAAGCCACACGTGCCTGGTGTGGCGGTTTGAATAGTTATGGTCTCCATAGTTTCATGTGTTTGAACGTTTGACCATAGGGAGCGGCACTATTAGGAGGCATGGCCTTATTGGATAAGGTGTGGTCTTGTTGGAGGAAGTTTGTTACTGTGGGGGTGGGCTTTGAGGTCTCCTCCGCTCAAGCTTTGCTCAGTGTGACACACAGTTTCCTTCTGCTGCCTGGGGATCAAAAGGTAGAACCCTTAACTCCTTCTCCAGCACCACGTCAGCCTGCATGCTGCCATACTACTCGCCATGATGATAATGGACTAAACCTCTGAAACTGTAAGCATGCCCCAATGAAATGTTTTCCTTTGTAAGAACTGCCATGGTCATGGTATCGCTTCATAGCAATAGAAATCCTAACTAAGACACTTGGCTTCTCTGACTCAGATCAACCATGTTCTACTGAGGCATGCTACTTTTTGGGAAAGTTTCTTCTGAGTCATTCCTGTTTGGCACAGTCTGAGCTGATGGATGCTGGACTGCTCATTAGCATTTTCTGTCGTTCCTGGAGGCTGGGTCACCCTGTGGAGATTGGGATGTTCACCTGGTTTCCGGTGTCACCTCAGGAAAGGGATGGTTTCTGTAGTACAGAACATATCTTACAAGAGAGTGTCTGAGGGAGAAAGAAACCATGCTACAGCAGAAGATTAAAAGAAACAAGCGGTGAGGGTTATGGCTTTGCAGTGGTTTCCTAGGTGATTTGAAATTGGATGCTGGGCATGGTGGTCCGGGGCCTCCCAGATAAGCTCCCAATAAATGGTTGCTCAGCAATTCCTTATTCAGAAATACATTTATTTTGTAGTTAGCGAAAGGTAAGGAGTAGGAGAGTTCTTTTCTACAGAGCAGTGTTGATTGGGGAATGTAAATCCCCTCCTTTCCCTTCCCTTATCTCTCTCCTTGAGATAGACTCTCAAGTAGCCCAGGATGGCCTCCCTGTGTAGTGAACGATAATCTTGAACTCCTGATCCTCCCATCTCCACTTCCCGAGTACTGGGATTTCAGGCATGTGTATCATACTGGGTTCATATGGAAATATAAATCTTCACAGACCATTTCACTTCTGGCTTCCTTACCAGGAACTGGTAATTCATGTTTCCCCTCTTCCACAAGACATTAGGAAAGCACTAGGTTCTTCTGTGATGGCCCAATTAGCTCATCAGATTGATTGCATTTTAAACCAATAAAATCATTGTATAGACAACGAACTATGTATCTAATTGAAAAATAATGCAAATTGATAAAATAAATTGCATTTCATAAAGTTTTTCATGAGACCTACTTGTCTTCTTCAGTCAGGATATATTTGTTTCAAATATATACATATTTATGTACCCCTAGTGCCAGGCATGGTAGCATATAACTGTCATCTCAGCACTCAGCAGACTGAGGCAGGAGGATCAAGAGTCTGAAGCTAGCCTGGACTATGTGGTGAGACTCTTTTTTTTTTTTTTCAAGACAGGGTTTCTTTGTGTAGTTTTGTTTGGTCCTGTCCTGGAGCTCACTCTGTAGACCAGGATGGCCTCGAACTCACAGAGATCCACTGGCTCTGCTTCCCAAGTGCTGGGATTAAAGTTGTGCACCACCACCTCCTGGCTGAGACTGTATTTTAAAAAAACCAAAATAAACAGAGAAACAAAATATTATGCTCCAATCTTCCCTGGTTTTCAACTTCAGAATCTTAAGCAAACTACTAAAAATAACTTTTTAATCTATTCTTTAGCGAATTCTTCGTTGATTTTTCTAAAAGATTTGCATTGCATTTATTTATTTACACATGTGTGTACAGGTACGCTCGCATGCACGTGTGTGTGTGTGTGTGTGTGTGTGTGTGTGTGTGTGTGTGTGTGTACCAGTGCCATGGAGTGTGTATGATCAGAGGACAACCCAAGGGTGTTAGTCCTCTCCTTCTACCTTGGGGGTCCTAGGGATTGAACTCAGGCCATCAGATTTTGTTGCAGGATCCCTACCTGCTGAGCCCCCTCCCTGATCCCGCTGAGATTTTTCTCCTAATGGAACATCTATTGGGGCCCAAGTCTGCTCCTTATTTACATGATGGCTCTTCAGGCATTTGTCTTTGGCTTTATGGATGGAATGGTGTGTTGGGCAGTCAGGAGGGCTTCATGTCTGGTTGCTGTGACCCTGAAGTGTCTATAGTGGGTGCAAAAGCTCTTCAGGCAGGTGACATCTAAGGGAGCGAGGGAAGGAGTGAGAGAAGGAGCGAGCAGATGCACGCTCGGAATCGGCAACATAAGGCAGACACTTCCCCAGCGGAAGGATTTAGAGCGTTAGTCTAGCCATCTTTCGAAGCCTTTATCATGAGAAATCAAGCAAGCTCCCCCCACTCCCCGCCAACTTGTTGGCTTTGTACTTGACCCTAAGTTCCTTCAGCTTGGAGGAGAAGTAGGTATGAAGTCCCACCCTATCCAAGAAGCTATTTGCAACTGATAGCTCTTGGGAGAGGGAACATTAGTTTTCTTCAAAGGAGTGGTGCTGGGTTTATCAACCACACCCCAGGGCAGGGCAAGCCTCGTGCTCAGGAGTAGTTGGTTAGTCAACACTAATGTACTTTTTTTTTTTTTTTTTTTTTTTTTTTTTTTTAGAAAGAAAAAGAACTTGGAGTTGGATGGGCATGGAGGTGGGATCAAATATATTGCACAGACTTATCAAAGGATAAATAAAGTCATTATTTAAAAAGAAAGTCATGCAAGATCTTCCCTAGAAATCCCCAGACCACTGAGAGAAATGACAAACAGTCCTTGGAAGACAACAAAAACCATCTTGATTTAACAGAACAGGGATATTGATATTGCAGAGCTGAATGTGAACATTTAGCGGTGTTGAAGATAGGGTTACAATCAAGGAATAAAGGTAAAGTCACAGATACAAATGAAAACCATTTGAAAGAACATGTAGTCTCTGAAAACAAACCGTGTGCATACAGAATAAACGTATATTGGCATGCTCCAAACTAATTGTCTTGAAGTAGGGTTTAGCGCTGTTCCATACACATGTTCTTCCCACCTGAAGTGTGTGCTCTTCGGGTTTGCTGTCCACTGTGTGGAGAGGTGAGCCATCAAGTTAGGTGACCCAAGCTTCCAGGCTGTTCTGAGTCTGTAGCTTCCTTTTCTTTTTGGAATATGCTGATCACACTTAGAATACGTGGTGGTGGTGATGGTTTGGGAGCCGGGGGCCTCACAACATCTGGCATTTAAAAACACTTTGGAAATGTTTCAGGAAGATTGTTGCTCAGCTTTCGGGGCCTGCTTGAGCAAGCTCAAGAAAGCATCATCAAACTTCTCCCCATGGGCGCATTAACCGCTCTAAATGAGAAACCAAGTCCGTTGGAAGCAGCCTGCAAACTTCAGCATCATAAGACAGGAGAGCAGAGCCCAAAGGACTAATGTTCCACGAACGTGCTCAGCCAGTTTGGAGGGTGTGAGCGTCGAACACGGGGAGGAAAAGTGAATAGGCTCAGAAGCCAGGGGGTTTCTCCTCTCCAGCGTTGGGCTATTTCTGCAGAACCATTTCTATTTAAATGAACACAGGCTTGCAGAAAGCCTGGACTGGCGTTTTATTTGACTGTCCCAGAAAAAGAGACGAGAACTCACCAAACAAGGAGCTATGGAGAAGGCTTAGTTGGTAAAGTGCCTACTATGCGGGCATAAGGACCCGAGTTCAGGTCTCTAGCACCCATGTAAAAAGTCAAGTACACCGTGCACCTGTAATCCCAGCGCTGGGAAGCACACCCAGGCTATTAGATTGGCCTGTGAGCATCTGTGTGGGGCATTTTCCTGATCAATGATTGGTGTGGGAGGGCCTAGCTCACTCCTGGGTAGGTGGTTCTGGGGTGTATAAGAAACCAGGCTGAGCAAGCCCGAAAGCAGCACCCCTCCACAGCCCCTGCTCCAAGTTTCTGTCTGAGCTCTTGCCCTGACTTCCCTTGATAACAGGCTGGACCCCATAAGTCATATAAGTCCTTTCTTCCCCCGAAATGCTTTTGGTCAGTGTTTCATCAAAGCAGCAGAGAAGCAAAGTAGGACACTTATAAATACCAGAATGACTTTCATACGGAATAGTTTAGATTTAGCAGATCTTTCAAGCCAGATGCTGCTTTTCTGCTTGCTTCCAAATATGTTGTTCTTTTACCGCAGCTGGGTGGCATATGACGAAAAGACATTGACAACTCTCTAGTCAACTGGTAGCTGAACGATTTAAATATTGACCTAAGCAGTACCTACATGGCAGCATCCGAGAGACCATCTACACTGATTCCTTCGTCATCATTCAGCTCGATGCTTGGATATACAGAATGATAAGGAACCTGGATATCTCACAGACTGTATGTTCTCATTTTTAATATATGTCTGAGTCACTTGAGGTCTTGTTAAAGTGCAAGTTCTGGTTCAGTTGGTCTCAACTGGGCCCCAACATGCTATAGTCCTGACTCGCTACCAAGTGATGCCAATGCTGCCAATCCTTGGACCACATTTGAGTAGTAAGGAGCTGGACTACTTCCCAGTGTAGAAAGACACCTTCAGAAGGCAATTTGCATGAGTGGTTGATGGAAATCCCTGATGACCCCACAAATGAGAACAGGAAAAAAAAAAGGCCATTTAATGACATGTCAAAAATGTGATACAGATAAACAGTGAGATTAGAGTACATGAAATAATATTCCATTAATTATGCAACAAGTACAGAGAATAGCCATTACATAGGAGACTATAGGAACACCAGCCAATGGGCATGTTGGCTGGAAGTCCCTTGACTCTGTGCACCTTATGTGGGAGAACAGCGGTTACAATTTGGTGATGTCCCTGTATATATTATATGTGCTTGCTGCTTACTCAGAGCAAAGGCAATTCTACTGAGTGATGAGAGTGCAGATTCATTAACCTTCTTGCCTGGGGCTTCTTGAAGAGGCAATAACCTGATTGCTTAACAAATGTATCCAAGATGACGGGGAAAAGTGATTTTTAGATGTGTATCTATTAACCGCCGAAGATGTATCGCTCTTACTCAGAAAGTGTTTCTGTTTTCCCTCCAAAGGTCTAACAGACTCCAAACACTGCCTCATGGAGGCCAGTGGGAGGCCAGATCTGCTAGTCCAAGTTCCCTTTCTTCACAGTGCAGCAGGTCTCACATCATCAGTGACACCGATTGGGTGCCATTCAGCAAAGATATCTCACATCCTGAAACCTGGGGTTCGTTTCTAAAGACCACACACTGCTCTGGCTTTAGTGTTATGAAGGTTCTGGGCCATGCTTCTAACACCGGTGCACCAAAGCAACCCTTGTTTTGAACATTATAGCCCCTTAGAAGTAAAGCACACGTGGTAGCCAAGATTCGTCATCCAGCCATTAGTCTAGTTTCTTGGAATGGAGCCTCAAGGCCCATGGCTGGGGTTGAACTTACACCCCACCCTTTCACACATGAGCCAGGCCCTGGCTCACTCCCTTCTGACCCCCTGAGAGACAGGCTAAGACCCTGGTGGCTGAGCAGAGAGCTTGGTGTTCTGGGTACTTTTCTGTTTATTGCTGACCACAGAGTCACCACAAACTCTATCATTTTATCTTATTTTTCTGCACTGATAGCCTCTGTTATTATTAATATAATCTTTGTATTTGGGGATATCTTTGTGAACATGAATCAATATCACCTCTATGCCTGAGCACAAGTATTCCGGAGTTAGCCTTATCGAGGTTTAGCTCATGGGTCTTTCGAGGTTATTTATGTATTCATTCCCGTTTCTTAGTAAGTTTCCCTTGACTTTCTGCTACGCACAGGCAGAGGATGTGGAAGATTTCTTCTCTCCTGTACCGTTAAAGCTGCAAAGAGCACCTGCGGACCTCCGTGCAGAGCAGAATTCCTAATATTACCACAGGGTTTGCCATGACATGGTCTTGACATCCCTAGTCCTCTGGCTTCCTTCACTCTCTGGATGCTGGTCAGAAGTGAACTCTCCCCAGCGTGAGCAAGCCTGTGCTTTGCCCCATGTTGAGCTGTAACTTCCTCTCGGTTTTCTAAACGTCTCATTTCTCAGAGTGCTCACCTTACTTTGTAAGCAACTCAGTTTGCCTGGCCCCTTTTCCTTTCTGTTTCTATTATTCCAGAAAAGACACTGTTTCTGGGAATACAAGTGCTTGGGAAGTCTTCTCAATGAAGTTGGAGACTACCAAGAGAAAAGCCAGTCATCTGTAGTTCTCTTGAGAGCGAGCACACTTTATGCTCAGGCGTCTGAACAAGGCTGGATTTCAAAACAACATAGAACATGGTAGATAACAATGTCCAGCATGACATCAAATATGTCTTTAAAGCAAAAACACAACTTGAAGTTTTCATCACACTGGTCTCGGGAATGTTTGCTCAGTGAATGTCACGTGGCTTCTGTGAACTCTTTTTGAGGCAGAGTGTCACTGTGTAGCCCAGGCTGGACTTCATGATCATCTAGCCTCAGCTTTCTGAGTGCTGGGATTATATGTGCATGCCACCATTCCTAGCTCCATTATATGGTATTTTAAGAGGTTTGCCTCAATTCAGAGGTTTTTCCTTGAAGATGAATTTCCTAAGGTTGTTGCCGATAGGGACTTTTCACCTCAAATAATGACCATTTTGTTGGATTCACTTTGGGATTTAGTGTTTATTTATTTATTTGTTTGTTTGTTTATTTTGAGACAGCATCTCCCTATGTAGCTTGGCTGGATGAGAACTTGCCTTGTGGACCAGGCTGGCCTTAAACTGACTGAAATCCTTGTGCCTCTACCTCTTAGGTAAAGGGATCACAGACGCCTAGCTTAGTTTTTTTTTTTTTTTTAATTTTTTAATTTTTTATTTTTTATTTTATTTCTTCCAAACATTGTAGGTTTAGTTATGACTGGTTTCCTTCTATTTCCTTGTTGGTGGTGCAGTGAGAACCGTGGACGGCTACATTGGACAGCTACATCCACTTCAATTGACAATGCTCCTACAGACTAGAAGTCTTCCCAATAATTCTTTATGTATTGTAACCATACTGTTATCCAAACAAACAAACAAACAAACAAACAAACAAACAAACAAAACCCCAAACCCACTCCCTATTGGAAATGAAGAGCTTAGGTTTTGACTTTGCTCTTCTGTAATTCCTGGCTTAGGCTGTAGTTGTTAATGATTTCTATAGTGGTTCTTAGATCGTAACTTTCCTCGGAAGAAATCAGCCCAGGTTTCTTACTATCAACATGGCTTTGATTTGTGCCTTAGCTTAAACTGCTCATCAACTCTATTGAACAATCAACCATCAAAGTGAAAAAAAAATCCATCAAACTAGCTACTTAATTACATGGCAGTTTGCTCTGGATTGCAGGCATATTGGTGAGAAGATCAAATTCTTGTCACTTTACCACATCTTACGGGTGTGGTGGAATATTGCTTTGTCTTTAGAGGCTTAACTATATGGAATTAAGCATTGAAAACATGGCTGAAAGATGTAAGAGGAACAAATGCAACTCTACTGATCTGCTTGCAGAACCCCAACTTGATATGGGTAATGACAAGTGAACTAGTGTTGGCACTGCTGGGTGCTGGGTGGGAAGCAGATGTCAGGATCTGCCTCAGCTCTGCACAGCACATCGCTCTCAGTTGATCCCAGCTGAGTGTCTCATCTGCACACCGAGGGACTGTGCTACAGGTTCTGAGACCTTTTTTGTCCTCACATGGATATCAACTGCCGTTTGTTGACTTTGGAAGATGGAGTGGACTATTAGCAAATCTTTCTTTTGATTCCTATAATTCTTTTTGTTTCTAATTCTCAGAACAGTTGTTATTCAACCTTGGGGCAGCAGACATTTTTGTGAAACAAATCAGGTCCTGCTATAGAAATCTCATTGGTCCATTTTGGAGCTGATGGCTAGGGGAGAGATCCGCCTGTTGACAGGACATTTTAGGGAACTCTCCCTGGTGGAGCCAATATTTTGCTTTCAGTCTTTCCTCCACAAAAATAAGAAGTGAGGAACAGCCTGGTAGCAAGATGTAACTATGCCATACTGTAGCAAAACTGGCTCACAGCACTAATGTCATTATAGGATCACATACTCATTGCCTAGCTGAAGGTATATAATACCCTCCACAGCATTATGGCTCATGCATATTTGTTTTCTATGTATGAAAGCAGACAGAACTCTTATTTCCTTTTAAGTGGCACATGTGCATGCATGTATGTGAGTGTGCATGTATGTATGATATGCATGTATGTGTGTGTTTCAGAAAACTCTTTGCCATTATATGGGAGAGAAATCAAACAGTACTGACATGTAGAGGAAGCAAAAATACATTTCAGAAATTCTAAACAACAGACAAACAAACAAACCCCCAAAGACTGAAGGGGTGTCATGGAAGGTCTTAAGAAGACCCATATCATACAATTCTCTTCTGTGGTTCCTTTATGAGCAGAAAAGACTAGAAAGATTGGGATGCTTTTCCCAACAGATGGAGCTTCAATCCAGAAAAAGTGAAATAATTTCATATTGCTAAGATATGATTTACTGATGCAATAAAGAAAAAAAAAAAGGAGAAATCAGCTTCCCTGGGTAATTCCAGGGCATTTGTAAGCAAATAAGACCAATCAGGGTCAATCACAGCCTCTAATTAAAACACAGAGAGTCCCTGGCTGTTTGGGAATTGTCACGTTGAAAGGTGCAGGATTTCTCACTGGGAGCTTTTCCTGCTCAGGAACAAACTCCCCATTAGGTGCAGTGCCTCAGCCTGGAATGGGATCCACTTCAGCTTATCCTCCATGGACATTTGGGAGAAGGAGTTAAGGAAAGAGGGAGAGAGGCAATAATTTTCACACTGGCTGCAACTGGAAACTGTCCTGAACCGAAACTTAACATGGGCAAGCCAAGGAGTGCTTTCAGCTGAAGCAGGTAGAAGAGTTAAGGCACTTTGACCCTGAAGGATTCTGGGACACATTTTTCATGTCTGGTGTCCAGAGCCCTCCCCCACTATTTCCTTTTAAGGTCTTTTTCTTTTTCCCCAGGCTGTGACTGGGGAACACAGTGTTCCCCAGTTTCTCCTGGGTACAGGAGAAAGTGAGACTGGAGGGAAGGCACAGACCTGTGAGGGTGGGGCAGGCCCACTCTGCTGGGTCAGGAAGATGGCTTTTGCCATATTCTTGTCCTGACCAAATTAGATGAAAAGCAGAAATCGATTTCTTTCTTCAAAGACTGTCCATTTTCAGGTTGAACGGCAGTAGATGTTTGCAAGAGCCAGGCCCCCTATCACCTGAAGCATTTGTAGGATGAATCTTTGGCAAAACTGGGGAAGGTGTAATAATTCACAGGATGTTTTCTTTTAAAAAAGGCTAAAAAATTAGAGGTCTGGCAGTTTATAAAAGTTGTAAAGTTTTTTTGTTTTTGTTTTTTGCTTTTGTTTTGTAATCAGGCATTCAGAGGTACATGTTGGCTCTAAGGACATTGACAGAGACCCACTGTTAATAGGAGTGAGCATAATCCAGCTTGTCTTTGAACTATTTTGATACGGACTTGCGAGGCTCCAATGACTGGACCTCAGGAAACTGTAATAGAAACAAACGTTAAGACACTTGGCCGGAACAACAGTCTCGGGAAAAATGTCGGCATTGTATTCCCAAGTTGGCAAACACAGGAAGTAAGGCCCCCACTGCAGGACAGAGTGCTTAGTTTTCCAGCATGACTTCCTGTTGGCTCACATCCGTGGAAGGGGAGATGTGAAGTACAGGACAGTTGTGACTTGCTTCCAACACCTCCCCAGCGCATTGTCTGAATGTGGCTCAGCGTTCTCCACGCGCAGTGTGTGTGCTCCAGCCTGGGGAGGAGGCAGTGGTGACAGGATGCTGAGCTGGGAAGCTGGCAGAGCAGAGGGACAGGCCTTCGGGATGCAGGGATTCCTTTCTGGTCATACCCTCCCTTTTGGCTAGAGGTGGGTCCCAGAGACTGGCTGCTCTTCACACCTTTGGATGGCAGGTAGACAGGTCTCAGGCAACTTCAGATAATTGCACAGCAGCTGTGGCACTCCGAACAGCCTTTCTTTTTTTTCTTGGGGTGGAAAATAGTGAGGATGGCTTCATCAAAAACCGCTTTGAGACCCTTCTGCGTCAGGGCGGAACATTCCAAGTAGCACTGTGCTCCAATCTTAAACACAAAGAAAGAGTCGTGAGTGTCAACCCTCTGCCTTGCCAGGTCCCCAGGTCAGCTTGTCCCCCCCCCCCCACGGCCTGTTTCTAGTGTCCTTCCATTTGTGTATGGAATGTAGCAGTGACATTAAGTGAAGAGGCCCGTCTGTGTGGAAGGAAGCAGGGTCACTGGGCCTACAGAGCACCTCAGAAGGGTGGGCAGCAGCCATCTTAGATGATTCCTCATTGCTATGTATCTCTTGGCAACATAATACCTGTTTGCTATTATTATTCAATACCAATGTACTTTGAAAAACATGTTTTAAATTAAAACACTAAAACATGAAGACATAAAAATCATAGAAGACATCCATTGGTGAGACATCTTTCTTTACTATACAGTTTTTATGTGTAAGTGATATGTATTTTGTATTGGGCTAGTGTTTTATTTTGAATTATCATAACAGTTACTCATTAATTATTGAAAACTAATAATAATAATAATAATAATAATAATAATAATATATGTGTGGGCATTTTGCCTGCATGGTATGTCTGCACACATGTAGTGCCAATGCAGGCCAGAAGAGGGCGTCAGTTCCTCTGGAACTAGAGTTAGACAGTTGTGGGTGCTGGGAATGGAACCTCTGGGAGATCAGCCAGGGCTGTTAACTGCTGAGCCAGCCCTCCAGCCCCTTGAAGAGTAAAAATAAGTTATTTCATATGAGGTACTTGAGAATCACAAAATCCTCATGAGAAACATAGAAATCTAGACCAGAAACTGTTGATTCTCATTAAGAAAACCATTGGCTAGGCTGTTGGCTTCGGTGAGGGAAGAGGCCTGGGTGTTCACATCTCATAAGCTCACATGAGCCAACTATATGCAGAGGGCCTCTGAATATTAAGAACATCTGGAGCAACACCTTATTATTATTTTTTTGGTGGTTTTCCGTTATGAAGCTGACTTTGCAAAGAGCAGGACAAATGCAGAAGAGGTTTGCTGGATATGGAACCTGGAAACTATGGCAGATGAACTGGGGAAAAGGGCCGTTGCTTTATAGCTGGGAACCTGCAGAGATGGTTCATAGAGCTTCTGGGGGACCAGGGGAAGGGGACTGTGACTTGTGTCCCCTACTAGTATGAAATGGGTGACCTTCCCAGCTTTTGCAAGCTCACTCTGGGTCATGGCTTGTTTGCTTTCCTATTTTTCTAGGGAGTTGGAGATTTAGAGTTTTAGTTAATATACACAATTGAAAGAAACGTTCTGTGGGTCCTTCGGGATACAGATGTTGGGAGCATTCACTATTCATCGGTCATCAGGACGTTTGCATAATGTAGAATGAAGAAAATCCTGTGGTTTATCTTAGACAAGAATGGATGCAGCCCAAGCAAGGCAAAAATGAACATTCCACCAGAAAGAGAGAGAACTATGTTTAAAATCTCTGTCTCTTGAAGTATGTGTGTGTGTGTGTGTGTGTGTGTGTGTGTGTGTGTGTGTATATCTGTACCTGTGCGTGTGTGTAGGCCTGAGGAGGATATCAGGTGTCTTGCTCTATCACTCTCTGTCCTGTTCCCTGGGGACAGGGTCTCTTATTCAACCTGGATCTGGCTGGCCAGGGACCTCCTGGGATCTGCCCATCCCTGCCCCAGTGCTAGGGTTACTGGCCCAAGTGGCCAAGCCTGGCTTCTCTGTGGGTGCTAGGGATTTAAACTCATGTATAGCTCATATGTTTGTATAGCAAATGCTCTTACATGATAACCCATCTTTTCAGCCCTCGAGGTGGGTTGTTTTTTTACTCTATGAGTTTCTATGACCCCTATTACCCAGCCCAGCAACTAGTTGGCCAAGCTGACTGAATCACTGAAATGGGACTGTTTGAAACGTCACAGATAGGAAGACTCAGGATGAAATAAAAATTGCTTTGGTTAAGTCCGGAAACTTATTTCAAAACTCTTCCTACAGACAGTAAGTATTTTTTTTTTTTGGTATGTGTTCTTTTCTGACAAGACTGGCTGTTTTATAAGCCAGTGGGAAATGCCAAAGGCAGGGAATTGAGACCATCAGTGCGTGTTGAAAGCCTACTTTATGGATTTTGTTTTGGCAATGGTTTGGCCTTTAGATTTGGAAACCACTTAAAAAATTTATTAAAAACAGGATATGAGACAGAGGGAAAAGGGGGTAGAGAAAATCTTTTTCTCACAATTACGTGAAATGTCATGTGTTGCCTTTGGGGGTTGTAGCCATATTTGACAGGCACACATGTAAAAAGCACAGGGAGTCAATGGTTAAATGAATGGCTGCTTGCTGGTGAGGTGATGACTCTTGTTGGTTATACAGAGGGAACAACAACAACAACAAAACCCTAGAAAGGACTGGAGGCTATTGTAATCGGACAACCTTCCCACTAAAGCCAAAGACTGATTCTGAAAATTCCAGGGCCTTGGCTGACTGTTGATTCCTTCTGGGACCCTGAGAGAGACGGGTGGGGTTTGCTCTCTTGTTTCTCACCGAGCTGCCGGGGGACAGTGTACGAGTGTATTATTAACCTGTCGGCCTGTGCCTCTGAATGATAGAAGGGAGCCCAGACTTGTCTCTCCCAGTTCTGACATGGGGGATTGGGGGGAGGAGACAACAAGATGGTCCATAAAGGCATTGTTGTGTGAGGAGGTTAACGTAACATTCTGGTGTGCTGAGAGTTCCAGGAAAAGTAGCCAAAGGATTTGGGGTGTGACCTGGGATGTACGTGTGAGAAACAGAGCCCAGTTGTGAGATGATTATCTGTTGCCATGTTCTACGTGCTCAGAAGGTCAGAGAGAAGCATTTGTCCTGGTTCAGGGAAAGGGCACAGACATGTTAGGAAGAATGCTTAAAAATTCTTTAGGGTCGCTGAAGATTGAAATGGAAAATTGTGTCAAGGAGACACAGCCCTTCTTGTTCACTTTGGCACCCTGTCCGGGTTCTTGGAGCAAAATGACCCATTCAGCCAAGTATTTAGGTAGGATCCATGTGCAGAAGCCCAGGGACTCCTGGTTTTGATAACATGTAAGCAATCTGAAGCAAGCTTTACCAAACAGACACATTTCAAGGAAACAAAACAAAGGCGAGCTTGAGGCTGTAGACAGAACACTTTTCTGATACCTTTTTACAATACTTAAGCTCCATTGTTTCCCGTGCTGGAAAACGGGTCACAAAGGCACAGGACACACAAGAGTGATGAGAAGAAATGAAAACCAACCAACTTGTAACATGACTCATCAAGTGAAATGGCAAGCTGATACTTCTTTCTCCTTCCTCGGACTGGAGTGGAACATGTTGAGGAGGCATAGAAATAACTAGAAGGGTGAGGGATGGAGCCTAGCTGGCAGCATTCTTGCCCAGGATGTACAAAGCCTGGATCTTCATTCCCAGCTCAGCATAAAATCAGATGTGACACCAGCCAAGACAGAAAGGTAGAGGATCAAGGTCATCCTCATGTCTATACTGAGTTCAGGGCCAGCCTGGGCTACAATGAGAGCCTTCTAAAACAAAAACAAAAACTAGTAGTGGAACAGAGGCAAATGTCTTCCCAGCTTCAGATAAGTCTAAGGGGTTGGGTGGCCAATGGGGACAGTTTGCTGAGTCTAAGGGGCAGGGTGGTCAACAGGGACAGTTTGTTGAGTCAACTTATGGTCTGTTAACTTATGGTCCGTCAATTCATGGTCGCACCCAGGAACCCAAGAAGGCAAGTCTCTTGCCAGTTCATTTACAGACCAGAAAACTGGCTGGAAGTGGCAGAGATGAGGATTTGCCCAACTCCCAAGCCAGGGACTCAACTACTCTGCTCCGCTGTCCCTAGCAGTCTATGAAAAAGGAGCCCCAAATTGAAGAATTTGTTTGCAGACCCTAGAAGGGACCCAAAGAGCACTGTGGCTGGAGCATTGGCTGTCTCATATAGCCTCAGCTTCCTCTAGAAAAGTGTTGACAATAATACACACACCACAGGAGGTGCTTGGAGGATCACCTAAGAGGAAGCCCGTGACACGCCCATGATCAACACTATGTAAATGCTAGCTATTATAACAAAGTGCTTAACAGAGGAATCCAAGACTAAAAACATTCCTGTAATTACATGAATTGCCATGAAGCCAGCTAAAATCTCACTTGGCTTTCTTTTAGATTGGATTTCCTAGGCTCAACATGGTTGTGACTCTGAGAGCACGTGCTAGGGGAGGTCGGCAAAAGGGCAACCGCGCCTTGAACTCAGCCATGGTTCTTAAAGTAAATCTCAAATGAAATGGGAGGCTTTGGAGAGGGAAAACCCCAAACCCCAAACCGACTTCCCACATGAGGAGTGAGGCTAGAAAGCCACCAGGATGAAGACGAGGACAGTCCCAGAGACAAGGAACAGAGAGAACAAGCTACTGTAGAAACAATGGGATGAGCCACCTACAGTTACATACATTAACATGTGTGTTAACGACACACACACGACTGGAGAAGAGACAATAGGCATGGTGTCCAGTGGTGATGCACACAGCTGGATTCAAATGTCTCCCTAGGGCTATTCCTGTCCCCCCCCCCCCCCCGCCCCCCTCCAATATCTCCTCAGTGGCTTGTACTTGTTATATTGACAGGACTGTGGTAGAAGTAGAGAGAGTACAAGTGTGTGTGTGTGATGTCTTTATGTATTGTGCCTGTAAGACATCAGAGTTAATCCACTTCCAAGGAGGGTGTCATATTACCTTTGGTATCTCTAACCGAGTTTTAATAAGAGAAACGCTTTTTTCCTTTTGCTAAGGAGTAATTTGTAGTTAATGCTCTCTTTGACTGGTCTTGAGAAGGTGACTGACTGCCTGGGGGCATGCATTTGCAGGGTTAGTTAGAAAGTAAAACATTAAAATTTTAAAGTCTCTTGCTTGGACTGGTGGATTGGTAACTAAATCCAGGAGGAAGTGGATTCAAATTAGGGAAATGTAGACCCTACGTCTCCTTCCCATGCACCCATGTCCATTTTACACACATGGCTGCTTTGCACACGTCGTGGTGGTGGCAGGGAGGCAAAGATTTGGTGTCTGGCAAATACATTTTGAAGCACTTCTGCAAGATCACTGTTTATGGCTAACTTCTTCCCAGAAGTGAAGGATGGTCAGTGGAGGTAATTCCAGCTCTGAGCTAGCTGACTTCATCTGTCATGCAGGCACTTAGATTCCTCCTCCTCCCTCCCCCCCCCCCCCCCCCCCCCCCCCCCCGTTCCTCTTAGCTGTGTGTCATTTTTTCCATATGCTATTTGTAACACTGTCCAGACTAAGTGGCTATTCATTATTGGAAGAGAGGTATTGGACAAAGATAATACTGTCGGATTTTAATCCAAGTTTTTCCCTGGAAAAAAAAAAATCACAAAATGCCTCATGTGAGGTCATTTAGATGAGTTACACTGATGATAAACAAGGTTTACAGATGTGCGTTTAATGAGTCCCCTTAATTCCTGCTAAGTGTGGCAGGTCTGTGTTCTAGACATGGCCGTAAGAGCATTCTAAGTGCTTAGCTGTTGAAACTGACGAAGTTTCTTAATGAGAAGCAGAAGGTGCCTGCTGACAGGAACACTCACCAGAACGGCCCCTTCTAGCTCTTCGAGACCAGAGGAAGGAACAAAACCTGAACGATTCGAAACACACTGCAGTTTTAAGGCAAAATCCCGCACAGCTCACCCGTCCCGGAGCCCTCAATTCAAATATGACCATACCGCTTTTGCCAGCTTCACGCCATGCTCATAGGTGAGGGGCTTCTCCTTCATGTACAAGAGTCGTGCCAAGGTTTTGGGGTCATCCCGGAGATCAATCTGGGACAAAGATACATTCACTACTTTCAGGCTTTACCGGTTATTTTAAGTGCAGACAAAAGATGGTACCCCCCGCCCCCACCTTAATGTTGCTGAATGTTCTCAGAGAAACCAATTTACACCCCCATGCTGTATCTGTATCTGAGAATGTGAAGTGATTTTTTTGAGGGGAGGGACATGGATGTAGCAGGGTGTTCTTATATTTCCTCTTCAAGGAATTTACCCTGGCTGCTGAGAACATCCTCCAAAGATCTTGTGCTATCTGGGATTTTGAATTTTTTCTTTCTTTCTGGACTTCACAGAGAGTGCACAGAGGCTAACCCGATGGTCTGGGTGCCTTATAGTGGTTAATTATTTGATTGCAACTTGGCAACTTATATCACTCATTATACAATTTTTGTGTGTGTGTGTGTGTGTGTGTGTGTGGCTTTGGATCCATTTTTTTTCTTTTCTGAACCAAATCTTGACCTTCAAAAGGATGGAGATTTGCTACTTGTGAGACCTTTTCAACAGATAACAAATGGACAGGGAGCCCTTGCCGGGGAGTCCCGGAGAGGGGAGACCAAAGGGCTGGCACAGTCCAACAGCAGAATGTCTCTCAAGTGGGAACTGCTTTGAAGGCAGCAGGTAAGAGTCTGAACAATTCACTAAGCATTGTGGTTGCTTTCAAATGTCACCGCGTATGTGGGCACACAGGGGTTGCTTCTTAAAGGAAGTCAGCAGGGTCGTGCTAGGACTCCATTGATTAGGACGATGCTTATGCAGTCGTGGTTTTATGTTTCCATTTGTTTTTCTCTTTTCCTCAATCATTTGACTCAGTGCCTCTCTGTTCCAGACAGACTCAAGTCACCCCGAGGGGTTTGAATGTCTAGTTATGTGTGTCGGCAGCAGGATCAAGGCTTCTCACCATGGATAGACACCAATATTTGCAATTGAAGGTGAAAGACGTCATCTAAACAAACAGTTATCTTTCAGAGCAGAAATGTGAATTGCACTCAGCAGTGTGGATAAATGACTTCTACTTTGTCTGTATTTAAGAGAAAACATTATACCCCCCATCTGCCCATGTTGTTTTTAGAAAGCACTTTTTTATTTATGGCTTTCAAAATGTTCTCTTTGTCAAATAGGATTCAAGATGAGAAATCAGAAGCAGCAGCACAAGAAGCAAATAGAAAGCCTTGCAGCCTTGCAGTCCTGACCTCGGGACACGAATGCAGATCTGAAACGTGCAAAAAACTAAACCCATTCACACTACAAATAGTTCAGACCGTCCTCAACCGACAAGAGGTGTCCTGATGGAAATTCAGGCCACGGAATTTCATCAGCTTCCAAACCCTTCCAAGGCCTTGACAGTTCATATATGTTGCTCTTCATACGTGTGTTTTAACTTTCCCAAGATCTGGGTGGCCAAAGGAGCTAAGGAAAATACAGAGCAGAGAGTTTATCTTCCTTCTCCTGCAGGGCCATCAAGGAGACATGTCATGATGCGCCGTATCTGAATGTAGGGTCATTTTGAACTGCACACCTGGTTTGCTGTATTAAAACAATTGTGATGTCCAGTTTTAAAAATATCAGTATGTACAATTGAAGCCCCTGCTTCATTACTTCATTCAGGGCTGGAGAAGAATGTCTGTTAAAAAATTATTTTGTTATTTAAAAAACAAGCTGTGAGGTTAATTTTAAATGCCAGATCAAAACATTCTGCTTCATATTAAATAGCTATATAATATTTTCAACTAAATAATCATGCACCTTCAGGACTTCCATTTAAAGATGCAATATCTCTGAGATTGTGTTAGGGCATTTGGTAGAATACAGGGCTCACCTTTTGCACAGGCCGTCCCACCCCCTCCATCACCCTCATTTTAACCTGGGTCCCGATGAGGACGTAAGGCACGTGAGGCATGCAGTCCTTCAGTTCCGGGACCCACTCCTCCTGGACGTTGTGATAAGAGGCAGGGTTTACGACAGAGAAGCAGATGAGAAACACGTCAGTGTTGGGGTAGGAGAGTGGCCGCAGCTGGTTGTAATCCTCCTGTGGGGAGAACAGAGGAGAATTGGTACAGGCTGAGCGCAGAGTCCGTGCGGTCCTTGGGACCCACGCAGCGAAGGATCCACTGTAGCAGCTGGTGAGCCGTGCCCTTCATTGTGCATCGAGGTCACCTATTTCCCATTTCAGATCAACTTAAAAAATGTAAACAGCTTTATTGAGGTACAATGAACATATAATACCCACCCACTTATTTCTCCTTCAAATTGTGTGTTAGTTTACAGTATAGCCAATATGTTTTGTTTTACTACAGTTAAGGGAGTTAGCACATCCATCTCCTCACGAAGTTACTGTTTTTTTAAAAATTTTTTTTTTAACAATGACAGCACCTAAAATCTACCTCTCCAGCACATTTCTAGCACACCACTCACTACCGCTGGCTATAGTTCTTGTGCTGTGAATGGTAGCGTCTAGAATTGTTCATCCTCCCTAATGGTACCCTGGTGCTTTAACTGGTCTCTCCCCACCTCCTGCCCCTTCTTGCCCTGGGTACCAGTCCACTCTGCTTCTGCATCTTCAGAAACTCACCCATTTTAACAGTACAATTAACAAGGGTGAGTGCCATTCTCCTGGGGCGTTGGAATTGCGTCTCCTGGAACATGCATTTAAGCGACTAGGTCACTGACCCACTTATCTTCTCTTAAACAACTAAAACTTGTTTTCAAATTCAACAGAGTAAGCTAAAATACAAAGCAAAGCATCATTGTCAAATGAGATACATCTGTTGAAGAAATACGTTTGAGATTTGTTTGTAAGTTTACCCCAGTGCCACGGTGTGGTCAAGTGTTTTTTTTTTTTTTTTTTTTTTTTTTAAAGCCAGTTGTTTAGTTGCCAAGGAGTTTTAGGTCACTCAATAAAATGTAATTGTATATTTTAACAGAATTTAGTAATGCTTAGCCAATAGTAATGTGTGCTCAAACACTTCCTGCATATATGCAGCCATGTACTATCATACATATATATATGTATGTATGTATGTATGTATGAATGTATCTCACAGTCACATGTCAATATAGTGGTATTACGCACATGCATATAGTCTATGCACACATGCAGATGTTGTGGAGCACTGTCCTTTGAGCATAGCTTGACCATTCCCACCTCACCAGAGCAGCTGTGATTACAGGGAAGTCCTTACAAGATCAGCCCTGTTGATGAGCCTGCAGCTTTTCTGTGGGCATTTACTACAGTGACTTTTCATTAGGGTCACATGGGGAGCTTTTAAAGAATCCTGACTCATGTTAAAATCTACAACTGAGGAGACCTCGGGCCATCATCTGTCATCCTTCACAATATTCTGTGTCCTCTGCCACTTGGTTCTTCCACTCAGATTGTCATAAATAGATCAGGGACCAGGTTGATCTGGCTTTCTCATCCTCTACCTATGCTCTGCCCACAGAAAATAATTTTATGAAGAAGGGTGATTCATCATTAAAAAAAAAAAAGTGGGGCTTAGGGGCTGGAATGATGGCTCAGTGTTTAGGCTCTTCCAGAGGACCTGGGTTCAATACCCAGAACCCACACGACAGCTCACAACAGTCTGCAACTCCAGCTCTGGGGGATACAGCGCCCTCTTCTGGTCTCCATGGGCACAGGCACATAAGTGGTGCACAGACACACATGTAGGCAAACACTCATACACGTAAAATAATAAAATAAAATTAAAATAATTTTAAGAGTGGGGGTTTACAGAGACCTCCAAGTGAGCAACTGCCCCAGCTCCTCCCTCTTCTGAGCAAATCAGGATCTCTGGAACATTGGGCTGGGTATGGAAGAGTCCTGTACTGCTTGGTCAGCTGTGGGCCTGGAGTGGAGCAAGCTGATTTGTATATAGCACCATCAGAGCACGAGTCTTGGGAGCCTTACCAAGGACAAGGCACCACTGCAAGAAGTACATGAATTATCTCTTGGAGTTCTCCCAGAAGCCCTAGAAAGATGGTGCCATCAGCATTCACATTTCACGGAAGAGGAGGTCAAGGACCAGTGCGGCGAAGTTACTCAGTACCAAAAGGAGGCATTTTGTGTGCCTCCAGTCCTAGCTTTTGATTTGAACTGCCTTTGCCATATCTTGTTATTTTAGATGACAGATTAAGAATTTTTTTTTTTGATTTGGTTATCTAGGAGTATATATGTATAGGTTAACGTGGTACTGCTAGGGTGCATTGTTTGGTAGCGGGCATTGGCTCCAAATGGCCACAAGATGGCAGCAGACACTGTACATTTAAAATCTTAACTCTTCTGTTCCGCCTGCCCGCAACAACCGAACCAAAACAATGGGACTAGCGTCTGAACCAGGCAAGGGAGGAGCCGGATAACTGATGGTCTGAAAGGATGGCGTTTATTTAATCCTTGATTTGCTAGCCATTGAATAAAAATGCTGCTTAGATGATGGGAAGACCGGGGAGCTGAGAGGTGTGTTCATTTGCTCTCCTGGCAAAGTAGCTCCGTCCTCCGGCACATGGATTTCTGGTGGCTTGAGCTTCTGGGCTTCACAGTGCTTCTTTGTATTCCAGGTTTCTTTGCGGTAGGAACTTTAGTTCTCCTGTGTAATTCCGCTTAAAAGGACTGATTACTCACTGGACGTGTGGCACTGTTTAAGGATGCTGCATGAACTGTATGAGGCGATTAAGCACTGGGAATCAAGTTGGGGAAAGAGAATGAGAACACACAAAACAATGCCCTGTATGTGGACAGAGACAGAAGTTTCCCTGCCTCTTTTGGTTATTCTGGGAAGGTAGAGTATTTATCTGCCTGAACTGGAAAATTCCAGTGTCAAGTCCGGAAGTTAGTATAGTAATTTCCCAAGGATGGTCCTCAGGCCAGCAGTACAGGCGTCTAGGGAGAGCTCCTTCAGACTGCACACTCCCAGGTGTCCAAAGCTTAAACTCCTGGGGAGCCGAGCCCCACGTGGCTCTTGTAAGCCTGCCACAGTTCTGATGCAGCTCAAGTTTTCTGGGGCTCAGGTGACCATTCTTCTCCCTGCCACCAGCCAGACAGCCCGCAGACTGGGACATCCAATAGATTTCAACAGGACTGCAGAGAAAAATAGCTTTCAAAGAATGTTTATACTTGGCTGGCAGAAGCAGCCTACCACCCTCGGTGGTGGCTGTGGCTAGGAACTATGTCGGAAGCCCAGAATTAAGAAAAAAGAATTCCGGGCTTGGTGATTGAGGGGGTCGGATGTTTGAATTCACACTGGCAGATGGCTTGACTGTGTTTGGTCTGTAGGTTGTGGTCACACGTGAAGATGATGTCGATCAGCTGTGAGGAAGGGCTAAATGGTCCTTGTGGGCATTGAGGTCCCTTCTAGTGCGGAAATGACTCTGGACAACAGGCGCTCCTGTGCTTCTTGGGGAGACAACGTGTTAACCTATAAAAGTCACTAGATAGTGCTTTGGAGGGCTAAGCTGGATGCAAGGGGCCTTGGAGTAGGGTAGGTAGGGTAGGTAGGGATTTGGGACTGCGTAGGTTTTTGAGTACTGGTTACCCATTGTCCCCCAAAGGCAAGCAAGGGTTCAGTACTACAGAGGTGGACCTGGTGCTGTCAAGTATGGGCACTGTGGATGATTATTTCAAAAGTTCTGGGGAACGCTCATCACAGACTGGCCAATCATGCGGGCCCCAAATATGTTCATGAGCATCTGTGACACAAAGGGACAGTGGCAGAACCATGAAGTCATTTGTTCTCCTTGCATTTGGATCCCTGGGAACTCATTGCACACAGTGGAGCTGTGCTCAGCGCTAGGTCTGGCGTGAAGCCATAATGCGCATGTCTGGTACGTGCCCGGGGCTGCTCTCCGTGTAGTAAGGGGAAGAGCATTGAGTTCAGCCGCTTGCCTCAGACTCCCAAGAGGCTGGGGACAGAACTGTGCGTTCTTTGCTTTGTGAGCTTCCTGACGCTTATCCCCGGACTGTCAGCACCAGCCTTGGTTTTCATAGTCTCCTTGTTAGTCAAGCTTGACTCAGAAAGCAGGACGGGATGGGAGCTCAGGATGTTGCCCAGGATCATGACAGGTGGAGACGAATTCAGTGGATTCAGATCCCCGGCTCACTTGTCACTACTACTTTGGTGTAGTTTGGGATGAGTTTTCTTTGGCCCGGTTTCTTTCTCTGTAGAGCGTCCAATGCTCATATGGGTGCGAGACTCCAATGCTGCAATGGGTATGACTCCTTGGGATGATGCTTTGGATGCAGTGAGCACATGAACGATGGAGTGAAAGGGGTCTATCCCTCACCTAAAGCCAACGGCAGCGCCAGTTCCTGGAAGCCCAGCCCCTGCCCTCATTGGATACCCGAGATGACCCTGAAACTCACTCACTTTTCTCAACTAAGCGGTAATGAGATCCAAATGTTTGTGGACCATGATTGCATCCTTTAGTCCATGTCTTTCCTCTCCAATTTTTCCTGATGAGGGGGAAAGGTAAGAACGGGTCCTGAAATTACCTTTACCAATAGCCCATCATGTGGGCAGCTTTCTCCAGACAGCACGCTCCTAGAGACCACGCGTGAGAAAGTTTGAGTTGCTTATTGAGGGGAAAACATTTATTCTGAGGTTTTAGGCAAACTTCCCACGGAGTGTTGGTGCCAGACCCCATGCTCCAGATGGCCCTGCTGGCTCAGCCAATAGCAAAGAGGAAGTCCCATGTGCTTCCAAGGGGACCCGGGCTTGCCACTAATGAGCCCCAGCTGCCCTTACCTCCTGCCTGCTCACATGCTTCTGAAGAAGAAGCCCATGAGGGGAACAGGAGCTTCAGATGTCAGGTCCCGGTGAAGATGTGTGGTCTCCCTGCTCCTAACAGTCATTGGTGGCAGTGAGCTGCTGTGGGCTGTGGTTTGGCAGTGAGAGATACCACCCCACACTCACACGGTGTGCAGGCCGCCTCAAGTCTTGAGGGGCTCATGTACGGGGAACTCAGACTCATGCTCTGATGAGAAACTGGTGTCTGCTTAGACAAATAGCAGAGAAGGTGGTTCCTGGCTCCTGACCCCAGGAGACACTCATTGCTTCCGGCAGTGATGCTGACTGCCATTTCTGCTAATGCTCGCTCTCTTTGGGATACATCCACCCAGAGTGTGGTCTGAGAGCTGGCTTTGCTCATGGCGCCACCGAGAAGAGGGTAAGATGCCTCACCACCATGGCTGATCCACTGGATACTCAGAGGACACCTGGCTCTGAGCATTGGCCTGGGCAACGCCCTGTCCCCTCTGCTGTTCCCCAGGCTGTGAGCGTTCAGGCTCAGCTCATGCCTCACCACTCTGGCATCATGCTTCGCTCTTTCATCTCTCATGGCACACACCAAACAAGCCAGCTGGGCATGGCATACATCTTAGAGTCTCTTCCTGTAACTGAGCCAGAAATCTGAGCACAGGAGCCACTTCCAGAGAAACTGTGAACGACATTTGACAAGGAGTATGTGTCTCACAGATGAGTTCGCCTGACCTGAAGAGACCAGGCCGGAGGATTGGCCTTATTACTTGTCTAGTGATCTGAGCCGTAAATCCTTTACTAACCTAATGTTTGATTTTTTTTTTCTCATGACTTTTGTATTCAAGACAGGGTTTCCCTGCATAGCCCTGGCTGGCCTGGAACTCACTCTGTAGACCAGGCTGGCCTCGACCTCAGAGGTCTGCCTGCCTCTGCTTAGTGCTGGCATTAAAGATGTGTGCCACTACTGCCTGGCTCTAGCATGTGAAATTCCATCCAACTGAATTCTCAAGATTTTTTTTTAGTCAAAGGGCTCCACTCAAAGCCCAAATTGTAGTTTGGGGTCTGGGGAGGAAGTCATCTTCTATGTGATGGCAGCATGTACATATATATGACTTCATTAGAAACCATCTTTACCTGTGAGTTCGAGGCCAGCCTGATCTACACAGTTAGGTCCAGGACAGCCAAGGTTACCAAAGAAACCCTGTCTCGAAAAACCAATGAAATGAAATGAAACAAAACCATCTTCAGCAAAAGCTTGGCTGAGTTGTGAAGCGATGAGGAGCGTCTTGAGCCTATCTTTCCAGCAGCCATATTGGAGTCCGAATGGCGGAGGGGAGCTGGTTAAAGTTTAGCTCAGGGTTGCCTTCATGGGTGGGGATAACAAGTTTCTCTCACCTGACCTTTCAGAATGCATTTGCTTCTTGAGTTGTTCCCCAGCCCCTCCCAACACTCCCCCCACCCCATCTGCAATCCACAAATCCACAGTTAGCTCAGGACAAAGATTTTCGTGCATTCGTGGTTTCTGGGATTGCCAATATGCTCTAAGATCACTTCTCTTTCCTTACTTAGTAATAGACTCAATGGGTCAGTTTTAATTAGTTGAAGGTGTTTTTCAGCCTCAAAACTTCAGGAACATTTGCTAGTATCATTGAAGGGGAGACTATCCTACTTAGAACGGGACTGGGACATTTGGGGACACATCTGTGCTGGCTGTTCTTGGTTGCAACCTGACTACATCTGCAATTAACTAAAACCCAAATGGTGGGCACACCTGTGAGGGGGTTTCCTTAATTAAATCATTGGAAGTGGGAAGGTTCTCAAAGATCCACTTCTAATCTGGTTCTTTGAGGTGGAAGGTCCACCTTTAATCCAGATCTTTTGGGGTGGGGAGATCCACCTTTAATCTGGGCCACACCTTCTACTGGCCGCCCATATAAAGACACGGAGAAGGAAGCTGGCTCTTTGCCTGCTTGCTCTCACACTCACTGGCAAGCCCCTTCCTCCACTGGCATTAGAGCCTGACTCTTTGGGGTTGTGGTGTATACTGACGACCAGCTGAGACATTGAGCCTCACGGACTGAACAACTCCTGGATTCTTGGACCTTCCGTTGATAGACACCATTGTTGGACTAGCTGGACCACAGCCTGTAAGTCATCCTATTAAATCTCACACACACATATATATATATATATATATATATATATATATATATATATATATATATATTCATTCTATCAGCTCTGTTACTCTAGAAAACCTGGACTAATATACCTTCTAAATTACATTTGTTGTGGAACTTCTTTGGCTAATTTTAGATATAAGTTATTTTGCTGGAAACAGCTTCAGCCGCTAGAGACTTAAATTCATTAATTTGGAGCCGGGGTGTCAAGGGCCTGCATTTGTTTCTGTTGGGTTTTTGAGACAAGGTCTTGTGTAGCCCAGGATGGCCTTGCCCTTCCTATGTCGCTGAGGATGGCCTTGAACATCTGATGCTGCTCGCTGCATCTCCCAAGTGGAATCTGCCTTTCTAAGATGCTCCATGTGCAAGTACTGCTTCTGCTCAGCGGACGGCACTTTGACGACAGTTCCTGGAGCTGTCTTCCTCCAAGTGTGCTGTCCAGAGCAGCGGCCATGGAAACTTGTCAGAAGTGCAAATTCTCGGGACCCCTCCTGGACTTGTAGAATTGGAAACTGTGATGTGTGGCCGTGTGGCTGGCTTTTTTAAACAAGCTCTGGGTGGTTCCGGCACACGCTCAAGTTTGATCATCACTGTTCCAGAAAATGAACGGCAGCTTATCCTTTACTGTATTTAAAAACTTCCACTGCTTGAGAGGTCTCTCTTGGGTCTTGACTCAAACCTTTTTGATTAATTACTCCAGTTCTTTCAGGATTTCTTGAAATTATCTTTTAAAGTTCTTAATCATAGAACCTGAGGCCCAGAAGGAACCCTCAGATACGGTCTGATTTCCTTTCTCCATGCTCCATGCTCCCATGTGAGCCTTGTCTATCCAGAGGTTTCCAAATAAGTGGAGGAAAGCATTAAGGTGAGAATTAAGTTGAAGAGATAGCTTGAATCTACTTGTTACTATATTTTACAGCATTTCTCACCTCTGTGTCAGAGGCTTGGGTCACCCTACTGGCTTCAATTTGATGTTTAAAGATATTTTCACAATATATTACCACTTCCACTCTTACACTGGTATTTTTTTTTAAAGGATAGAGTAATGGGGAATAATAACTCAACTCTACAAGAGCTTTGAAACAGCTTTATTGGATGTGGAATGAAGTAGAGATCGAGGGATATTGTTGTTGAGGCAATGGATGCAAAGGAACCCACAATGGCTGTGGATTGCTACAGAAGTGCAGGGTGAGGTAAACGGGCAGGGACTTCCAGAATTTTCCGGGAAGGCAAGGGAGACAGAGCAGTTTCCGAGTATGAAAGAATCCTCTCTGTGTTGAGCTTTGGCAAACTGGATTGTATGGACTTTATATACTGTGAGGCTGTGATAAGTAGAGACGCCCCACTGATTATATGACTGAGTTAGAGTGGGCAATTCCAGCCCCTGAATCCATGGGCCTCATTGGCTGGGAACTTTTCTGGTAGGAGCTATATTCTCTTGTACTAAAGGACACAGATCAATTTTTCTATTTGCATAGCTAAGGGCATATTTTCCCCTTGTTGTGTTTCTGTTTCTTGATATTGATAGGAGAGGTCACCCTACTCCCGAGTTAGGAGAGTGGTTTTCCAAGTCATCCGGCCACATGTCGAATCTGGAGGGTCCTGGAAAGGAGCGTTGGGTCTGATGCTGGGATATCCAGGTTCCCTGCTCCGGTTGTAGAAGAGCATCTTTGATGTCCCACACACCCTTGTCGGTGGTCCCTGCGCATGCACACTGAAGACCTCGAAGGGATTCCATTTATTTATTTTCTAGTAGAGAGCTTTCAAGTTGAGCAAAATGACATATCTCCAGATAATTGTGAGAAAAAGCCTCAACAAATGCATAGCTATTAACAATTACCAAGAAACTCACAGTGGGAAATGCCACGGTCAAATATTCACTCCAAAGGGCTTAAGCTGTATAAATTTGGACTGACTGAACAACCCGCTGATTTTGACCTAAATAAATGATTCAAGACATATGGTAACACGCTCTATCCAAGAAATTAGGCCACAGCCATCCGTGGCTCATTCGCATCCCATCCTCCACCGGGCGAACTTCTAACACTGGATGTTTTCCACAGCCCTGTATGAGGTGCAGGGAAAGGCACTTACCCAAGATTTTCACCCAAGGACAGCCATGTGCAGGCTCACTGTTGGGGATTCAAATCCGTGCCCTTCCATTCTCAAACCCCAAGAAACACTGGTGACAGAACAAGGGTATTTGGGGAATCTTAGAAAATCCAGAGTCAGTTTTCAGTGGTTGGGGGTTGCCCTTCATCTTAGGGACATATCCAGACCCTTGTTTTTCTTTCAGCCTTTAATCCATTGTACCCCTCCACCTTTTTTTGAGCCTTTTCACAGATCGTTAGGTAAATCAAATAAAGGATGGACAAAGAAAACAGCATGGGCAAAAAGGGTAAAGCTACAGTTTATAAAAGAGTCCGGTACATCTTGGCTGTGGAACAGGTTTGGGTGGGAGACAACTGAAATTCTTGGCTAGAAATGTTGTTTCATTATTTTTGAATATTGATGGTTTTGCAGTGTTGGACATATCATCAGTATCTTGGACAGTGATTTATATATATATATATATATATATATATATATATATATATATATATATAAATTTTAAAGTTAAGAATGTGCATTTGGTTGTCATTTGGGTCCCAAGTGATGAGAATGGGAAATGCCTGTGCTGTTAGCTCCTGAACGACGAGCCAAATGGACCGTTCTTTCTCCTAAACTCCCTTCCCCAGCCCTTAATGAATCAAGACGGTGAGGTCATACCTGTCCTGCGGTGTCGTACAGTCCAAGCAAATGCTGCTTGCCTCCCACCGTCACGGTAACTAGGGAGAAGAGAAGACAAGAGAATTCATAAACAGAGGCTTCCGTGGGTAGAATGTCCCATGCCAGCTTCTCTCTGGGCAGGGAGGATGAGCATATGCCTCACTGGTGTGTATTCTAAACCAACTTGACAGCATCGTTTCCAAATGAAAGAGAACCTTAGGCTGCCGTGACAGCAGACGGCCTGAGCCAACTCCAAATCTCTCAATGGAGATGGATATTTTTGGTGTTACTCGAGTACTCTGTAGGCTGTTTGGTGACCTTTACCAGGCTCTGCAATATGAAGCTTCTGAAGGAAAAATAAAGGATGCCAAGTTCCTTTCCGGCTAGCTTATCACTGTCTTTGCTCTGAGTTTCCTTTCAGGATACAGAACCAGGTAAGTAGCTATTTGAACTCTCTGTGCTCTTGGGGCTGAAAAGAAGGCTCAGTTGATAAAGGGCCTACTGTGCACACACGGAGTCCTACTGTGCACACACGGAGTCTTACTGTGCACACACGGAGTCCTGACTGCCCACACATGGAGTCCTGACTGTCCACTGTGCACATGGAGTCCTGACTGCCCACACATGGAGTCCTGACTGCCCAC